TGAACTGCAGTCAATGGTGGGTTAGAAGGTGATTCGCAAGTCAGAAGGCAAAGTTATACCGTGGCTCATCTTAAGTCTATAGGTCAGAAATACACTTTACCGATGCATTTTGATATTTTCGTCTAATTAGTAATATTCATCCTTTAATTGGTGTCCTCTTCTTTCATAACTGGATAGAACAAACACACGACGCGTATATTTGAATGCTTTACTGCTTAAACATTTGATGATTTGCTTATTTCGATATATTCTTCTATTCAAGTCTTTAATTGTACTCCGAACATATCTTAAAGTCAATTTATTACATATCATAGTCAATATTAGTCCGACATACAATCGTAACATTGTAAATACTGTCACTTAACTAACTTCTGGTTGATTAACAACGTTATGTGCTCACATTTTAAGCCCCGCCAATTAAATCTTGGTAATACGGCTTTAAATGTTTCACATTTTATTTGAGTTTGCATTAAGATTATCCTCGTTTCTATTAATCAAAGTGCGGGTATGTTTCAGTATCTATAGCAAAGCCATAAACAATAAATGAGGTCTTGTTTTTCAGCAGATAGAGGTGGGATAGATGGTATTTTGGCGTGATGTGTAAATTTACTCTCGATTGAATGGTCGTAATGTATTACATTTCAAATGTTTTTTATACATAGAACAGGAAAGGCTTTTTATTGATATAAATTCGTTATTATATATATATATATATATATATATATTATATATATACTATATATATATATATATATATAACAATAAACAAATTCTGAATTTGGATCTTCTCTCTTCTTCTTCTTCTTCAGCCTTCATTTATCCATTGTTGGACATATGCCTCCTCCAATTGCTTCCACGCTTCCTATCTTTTGCAATTTTCATCCACTGTTTTCCAGCTACAGCTGTTATATCGTCTATCCATCTCTTTTTGGGTCTTCCTACGCTTCTTTTTGTTTCTCGAGGTCTGCAGAATGTCACTTTATGAGACCATCTATTGGTGTCTTGTCTTGCTACATGTGCTACCCATTGCCATCTCAAGGTCGCTATTTTTCCCATGTATACTTTAGTTCTTCGACGTATTTCGGTGTTAGGAATTTTGTCTCTGAGGCTTATATTTAACATGGCCTCTCCATGGCCGTTGAGTTACTCTTAATTGTTCTGCGTTTTTCTGTTATTGCCATAGTTTCCACCCATAAGTTGCAACTGGTAGTATACAAGTGTCATAGGTTTTCCTTTTAAGTCAATTAGGATTTTTTTGTCTTTTAAAATGAAGCTCAACTTACCCCTTGAATTTGGTTAAGTTTAAATAAATTGAAAAAAATAATAATTTTTGCATTTAAGCAATCGCAATTTGTGGTCATAGGAGTAGAAGTTAACAGTTCCTGGGGGTTTAGGATTCTTTCATTAAAGGGGTCCAGAAATTATATAACTGCTATTATAATATGACATGCGAATCAGGATACCTTGTGAAATCTTCTTCTTCGTCAGCCATTTCCATCAACTCCTGAATATAGGTCTTTCCCAATTGCTTCCATATATCTCTATCTTAGGAAAATCTAATTCATTGTTTGCCTGCTACTACTTTTATGTCATCTACCTATCTCTTCTGAGATCTTTTCATATTTCTTGTCGTCCTTCTTGGTGTCAATTCTACATCTTGTGGTTTTACCTTTACTTGTGTCCTTAAAATCCGTATGTATGTAATTTAATGTAATCCGTAAAATACTTGCGTCAAATTAAATAGAGCTAGTTAAAAAGATAGAGTTATGTTTAGGTTATATTTTCAATTTTATAGCAGACTACAATCATGACTATGGACTTAAAGGAATGACCAAAAAGTGAAGTAAAAAGATTCTGGACATTGTTTAATCCTTCACAATACCCATTTCGGCGATAAAATATCCTATGCCAAAATAACTTAAAGAAGGCAATTTTCATTTAAAGTTATCTTTACATATTAGCAATAAGTGTTTCGGTTATTTGTGCTGGTCATGCCTTCTTTGATAATGAATAACTGAGGTTTTTACTGTTTTTAACGCTTCTTTTTCTTGGAAATAAATATAAAAAGTGAAAAAAACTCCAAGCTCACAAAAGGGCTTTGAGTAACATGCGAAAACATACGAAAAAGTTATTAAAACGATGTGCATTTAGTGAAGATAGTGATTAGTTCGTATTTAAAAGACGTTCTTCATTAATTATTTAAAAGAATATGTTATTTTCTTATAGAATTGCGGAACCAAAATAATATTCAAACTTTTACAGATAATTTGAATAATAATATTCAAATTATTAAATGGACCATTTTAGCTTTTTTTTTGGAGAACGGTTTATAAATTCATTGTATGTTGTAGATGCAGATCATACAATTTAAAACCTTTTTAAGCAAATAAATTAACAAATATTTAAAATTTAACATTTTATATGTGAAATATGTTTGATTATATGTGCCCGAAACATAAAAACAACACAAGGAACGAATGAATCAATAACCAATTAAATAAATCAAATGAAAAAGAATGAAGAAGAACAATGTTAGGAAGAACTAAGATTACTAGTCAGAAGGTTTTGCTTTTTCCCCAATCCTTTTATGTACCATTTTGTGTTGTCAACGAGTCAGTTTTGTTCTCACGAGTTAGGACGAAATTCTGTCAGGCTCTGTAGTGCCTTCATACATACTAGTGCTGTGGAGCTCTGCGTACGAAGCTCACCAAAGTTCGTCAGGTCTCCGGGTATCGCTTTGACAAACCTTTTTTTTTGTAACCCTGAACCTCATTAGCACTATCGTGTTGCAGCGCGGGAATAAGTGCAGTATTCGCACCACGAATAGAATCGTCAGTATGGAGATCCTAACCTGTGGTAATCTATTAAACTCAGAAATTGTTTAATAGCAAATGGCTTATGTCAATTAACATATTTATATTCGGTGTCTGAGGTGAAGTGACCTATTGGACATATCTCCTAATTTAAACGAATTTAAGATCTAAAAAATAAAAGTTTTCGTTAGTGAAATTTGTTCATGAAAAGTTTTTTGACCATGTAGTATTTCCAGTTCTACCGAAAATAGTTGTCAACTTTTATATTTGATTAGCATTGCATTTTTCATTTTCTCGTTGAACTATTATATGTCACGTTCGGTAGTCTGAACTTCAAACTAATTATTAGTCTCATGAGCCACAAAAGAGATCATAGAAATCTAATACTGTAAAATATCTAATTTGGACCAAAATCTCTGTTCTAGTAGACCATATTGAGACCGAAAAAGTTTTCATTGAGACAGGTGTTCAGGTTACTCTCTTGTTATGCTTTAGGCATATAATAGTAGATATCTATTCTTTATAAAAGCATTTAAATATTCGATATTGCAGTTCATACTTAAGAGCTATAAGAAAATATTTGAAGTAGCATACATTTGGTCTAAGTGTTACCGTTTTGGCGTTGTTTAACTTTTTTGGAAACATTAGACGCTTTTGGACACTTGGTAAATTTAAATACGAAAACCATGAAAGGCTACAAACTTAATTGGCATCCACCACTACACAGAACACGAAAGAAACTTAATTTTTTACAAGCGAAAAGCTGTGCAGTTCATGGCATCATTGGCGGGAATGTGCAAGTACAGTTTCTTAGATTTTAAAAATGGAAAAATGTGATTTTATGGTTTTTACCTGTCAGGAAATACAGGTAGGCTAGTCATCAGTTTTCAAATTCCTTTGGGTATAGGTAAAGAAATAATAAATAAGACTTACTCACAATCAATTTAATTTAACTATCCGACGACCGGTTTCGCTTTCTACAATATGCAAAGCATCTTCAGGTCTCGGTACAAAGTTAAACAAATGATGCCGGTACTTTATTAATAATCATCTACCGGCATCATTTGTTTAACTTTGTACCGAGACCTGAAGATGCTTTGCATATTGTAGAAAGCGAAACCGGTCGTCGGATAGTTAAATTAAATTGATTGTGAGTAAGTCTTATTTATTATTTCTTTACCTATTTGAAATGGACTCACACAAGCACACATTCATGATCCTTTGGGTATATTTTAAAATCCCTGGTCTTATTGCGGTGATGAGTGTGTACTATCTACGAGTCCATTTATGCTAATTGGTGATGAGTTTACGTGTACCCAAATTAATAATAATGAAAATAGAAAAGAACAGGAAAACAACGTCATATGGGATTTAAACAGGTTGCACGTGAAATTGCTGCTTCTCTATAAATAAATTTATCAATTAAAACATTTTAAGGTGCTCTTTGCTTCAATAGTAGATATACATTATATCTGCTGATTTGTAAATGACAAAATATTAAAATTTATACCAAAACAGTTGTAATATGTTAATTTTTAACTGTTTTTAAAGCCCATCCCTAGACCGAAGAGGATTATTTACACCGAGCAATATAAGTTAATGCCGAAGCTCTTCTTAACTGTTGCAGATGAAATAAATCACATCTATTAATGAACAACAAACAAACACTTAATATTTATTGATCATAAATGTTTGGCAATAAAATACGGCAAAGTATAGAGAAATAAGCTTTTAACCAGCTACCGACAATCGCGGCACATGCACTTTTATGGCCTTCATCGACTAACCTATTTATAACATAATCTTTTTGTTACCCGAAGCGTCATCTCGGCTTGACGTATTTGCTTTACATATTGACAGAGCATTGCCGAAGAAATATGTTTCCATTTTGAAGATTTTTATGACCTATGTGTTTGTTTTAAGATGTATCCTTTGTATTTTTCTAACGAGCTGTTAAGTTGTAAATTTCGGTCGGTACTGCTGCTTTTTACGAAGTGATAATATCTTTAATGTATGTCTATCGGTGACTTTCTCTATTTATAGATGGATTTTTCGGATTTTTTTCAAAGGGTACCGCAAAGGGAACAATATCTGTGTGAACTAAATTCTGGCAAACAAACTTTCTAACCATTAAAATTATTATATTCTGGCGAGGAAAGTATATGAGTACAGCGTAAAATACTCGGCTTAGTATAGTTTTTTTTTACAGATAAGTATAACTTGCATGTCGCGCTTGGCCGATTCGTCGAAAAAATTGTCAAATTTACTTTTTTCCGATGATTTTGTAGCAGCAGAAGACCATGATGGAACACTTAATTGTACATGACTCTTTACTTCAGATGTAACATTCTGGACTTTTACGCTGTCGTCAGTACTTAAATTCCGTTGATCTTTGTCCATTTTTCTTTAATCCATACTAAAACAAGTAATATTCCCAACAAATGATAAGCAATAGGTAGACAAAGTTCAATAAATAAAAGGAGAAAAAAGGTCTTAATTTCATTAACCCATTAGTTCCTAGCGATATGATTATGTAATGGCAAAGTGGTACCATCTAAATAGATCCTCTGTTGCCTACGTCGCAAATTTTGAGTTGAAAACAAGGCTGTTTTTATCAGAAAGTGTTTACATCGTTGTAAATTTGTGATTTTAGAAGAACTTTGTTTTGAATCTGTGCTGGGATAAAATATAACGAAAGATATAAAGCTTCAAATAATGGACTTCGTTGTTAGAGTAAGTACAGTGGAACCTGCTTAATTCGAACTTCTCTAATTCGAAATCTTCTTTATTTCGAATTTTTATTCTGGTCCCTAGCATTTCCTATATAAGTAATGGTAAAAAATCGTCATCATCATCATCATCATTGGCTTTTACAACTCTTGGTGAGTTTTTGCCGCGTTTACTATTGCCTTCCATCGATTTCGATCCTGTGCTATTATTTCCCATGGCCTTACTTCCATCTTCTCCAGGTCTTCCCTGACTGCGTCTTTCCACCTTTTTCTAGGCCTTGCTGTGGATCTTTTTACCATCTGGTCTTTCCCAAAACACATTGCTAATCAGTCTGTCGTCATCACTCCATACCACGTGGCCTGCCCATCTTAATCTATTTTCTTTTATGTATCTTACGATATTTCCTTTCCCGAAGAGAGTATCTATTTCATTGTTGTATCTGCTCCTCCATTCATTTGTCACGCTGTCCCTGCAAGGACCATATATAATTCGCAGGATTTTGCGTTCCCATACTAATAGCTTATTGGTTTCTTTCTTTCTCAATGTCCATGTTTCACTTCCATATGTCACTGCTGGTCGTATTATGGTTTTGTACATTTGGATTTTGGCACGCCTTGAAAGAAGCTTTGACCTCATTAGATGTTGAATGGCAAAGAATGATTTATTTGGTTTGATTTATTTAATGGTAAAAAATCGTCAATATTTCGAAATATATTTTGGATAATTCGAACTTCTCTACAAGCTAAAATGCCAATTTCATGCTGGAAATTTCCGCGAAAATAGGTAGTATTCTTTCCTGTCCTCACACGCCACATATTTCAAGGCATTCAAGACCATTGTACATTGTAGCCGTATTTGGCACCAAAATTGTCCCCACCCGGCACGCCCCTTCAGTAAACTTCGAACATACAAAACTTTGACGTTATCGAAAAAAAATAGCGGCAATTAAAGAAGTAAAAAAGGGGACGAAGAAAAAAATTTGAGACTGCCAAGAAATTTGGAATTTCTCATAACACATAATAATTCACACCTAGGTACTTCTTCAAGTAGATGGATATACCTACTTGAAGAATAAAGAAAAAAATCTTAAGAGTGAAAGTAAGTGCGGTAAAGAACGACAAAGGTTAAGGAGCCAGAAAATCCAAATGTGTTTTAAAATGGTTCGAACAAGCCAAGGATAAGGAGATTCCGTGAGTAGTCCCCTTATAAGAAGCAAAGCTGAACAATTTGTTGTTGAAATGGGAAAAAACAACTTTAGGGAGAGTACAGGGTGGCTAGACGGCTTTAAAGAACGCAACAAAATTCCATTTAAATCCATTTGTGGAGAAAGTGGGGCCGTTAATCAGCAGGAAGCCAACGAATGGAAAAAAATATGGAGGAGATGATTCAGGATATAGATGAAAGAGAAATCTTCAATGTTGACGAAACGGGTCTTTTATTAAATGCACTCCTTTCAAAACACTGGCATTTAAAAGTGAAAAATGTCACGGAGGAAAACTAAGCAAAGAAAGAGTCACTCTTCTTATTGGTGCAGTTCATTTATCATTTGACCAGACGTTTTTTGGTTCAAAACATATTGACGGAAGATTGCAACTCCCTTAAAAGAAAGTTAGACTTTCTTCAAGGCTTGCGAACGTGCAAGAAAGCTTCTGAGAAAGTAACACCCGAACGAACACTGTTTCAAAAAAGCTAGTTTCGTAAAAAAGGAGGAGAAGGCAGAAAACGCTAACGACCCTTTAACAGAAGAGCTGCTTTCAGTTAACGGCTGGGAGGACGTCATTTCTGATCCTGCCTTCTCTTATGAAGATTTTGTCATCGTGATAAGATGTTGCAGTGCAGCCAAAGCAACGAATCATATTACAAAGCTTAGACGTACTTAGAAAGTAAAAATGACATAAGTCACTTAATTTTTTTTTTTCACCTTAGAAAACCTTAGAATCTTTTGTCGTTGCCGAGAAGCTAAATTCTAAAAAGCAGATAAAAATTTCGGATTTCTTTGGAAAAAGTTAAAGTCCATGTTTTTTTAGTTAATTGTAACAAATGTTCTTATTTTCAATAAATTTTTTGAGACAAAATGTTGATTGTTTTAATGACGCGTTCTCATTGAGTGATTTTTAAATGTTTATTGGCCCAGATTTGGCCAAAAGTACCAATGAGAACACCTGCCATAATGACAATAATTGACCATTTTTTATAGCTTGCAAATATTTTAATTGGTATTCTTGGCCGAATTTTATTAGCCTATTTTTTTCAGTTGGCAAAATTCTGGACAAGACTAGAAACTAAAACATCTGCAAAAGTGATGATTTTTATCGTTTGCAGATGGTTTTGTAGATATCACTGTTTTTGTAGATATATTTTTAATTCGAATTTTTATATAATTCGAATTTTTTTAACGGTCCCTCGAGATTCGAATTATCCAAGTTTCACTGTATATAAATCTTATTTTAGTTTATATTAGAAAACAAATAGTATAAGAAAATATAAATACATATTTTTTATGTAAAAAAGCATTGATATTTTTTTGAATAAAAAAGTTGTTCGGTTAGAAAATTGATTAGCATTACATATTTGTAACTCTAGGATTTATCGAAGTATTAGTCTACAGAGTGTTTATAGAACATAAAAATTCGAAATTTTAAAATGCAGTATGTATTTACTAAGTTGTTTTTTTTATTTCAGAGGCCTTGCTGCAGTTCTTTAAAAAGGCCTGACTGTTCAAGAAGCTATTGATATAGCCTTTGGAAAATACAACGAGATAGATGACTCTATAGAGGCAAGTTATATACCGCCACCGGATACGGCTACTCTGACAGATGAATATTCAGGAGATGAGGACGAGGACGAAGATTTCGACAATTTGAGCAAACGTCGGCTACTTGCCGATGTAGAAGTTGAACTGCTGATGGATTATACTAGGAGAAAAAATTCCTATTCAACAGTCAGAATCGACAGAAGTTTACATTTCTTTGGCACATGATATGGATATTACACCTGCTCATATGGTATATCCAAAAGTTTCTGAATTCCGAGATTAGGTTTCGGGAGATTTCACATATAACGAGAAACAATTTCCTGAGTCAGATTATTCACTGTTTCTGGTACAGGAATCAAACCAATATGCTACTTTCAATAACCTACCCGACCCAGGAGTCTCGCCAGAGGAAATGAAATGTTTCATTGCTATATTGATTCTTAGTGGTTATAATAATCTTTCCAGTAAGCGTATGTATTGGGAGCAAGTCTTGACACTAGAAACGAACTTGTATATAATGCTATGAGACGCAACAGATTTTAGCAGATTTTGAGGCTTATTTACTTGAATTCTAACGCAAATATTAATAAGAGTAATAAGCTCTGGAAAATACTGCCATTTATAAATAAAGTAAGGGACATATTCAGAAAATATTTTGTTCCTGAAAACGATCTGGCTTTCGACGAAAGTATGGTCAAATACTACGGTAAACACAGCTGCAATCAATTTTTAAGAGCCATACCCATACGATTTGCCGATAAAGTTTTGTGCCTAAATACAGTGATGCTATTTGATTAAGTTCGAAATAAATCAAGGAAAATCTGTAACTCCTGATATTGACATAGAAAGAAACTTGTAAAGGCGGTGAAAATGATAGAAGAACTACCTGATAATCTGAAATCTTTTCTATTCTTATTGTACTTTTACAATTTATTTTCTACCCTCAGTTTATTGTATTATTTACGTTTGAAATGATACAGAGGCACGGGGACTATAAGGGAAAACTGTTTACCTATGAGCTGTCCTTTATTATCTAAAAAAGATATTTAAAAAAAGGTATAAAAAAATATGGGGTACTGATCGAATGGATCAGAATGTTGGACGACAGTACAATATTCAAATGAGAAACTGAAAACGGTACTAGGCATTGTTTACATGGCTTCTTGATGTTTTAGTCAATAATGCGTGGTGTTTGTATCAAAAATCAAACAACTCTCAGATGTCTCAAAGAGACTTTCGAAGGGCTATTGTGCAAGTTTATTTTAAGAAATATTCGTCATCTTCCAAAGGCACTGGCAGGACACAATCCCCATCTTCTAATGCGCAAATAGTAGCCGATGAGATTAGATATGACAGGATGGAACACCTAATATATAAAATTGCAAACGACAACAGAAGACGTTGTGCTGGAAGATTTTGCAAAAGTTCAACATGCAAGATGTGTAAAAAATGTAACTTGGTCTCTGTATTGATTATTTCGTTATCTATCACACAAACCAAAATGTTTTAAATTCCTTTTTCATTATTTTCAATTTTTAAATAAATAGAACTATTTACATATATTTTGTATTTTTGCGCCTATTAGTTCCTGGCGTTACATATATGTAACATCATATACTGAGTGATTTATAAATCCGAATGCGTAAATTCATTTATTTTTATATTATTATATTATATTAGCATCACATTAAAAACTGCGAAAAATAATCTGGCAATAATGAGTTATTAATTTTAGATTTCTTGAGTTCCTGCTAGGAGTCAGGCACGATCATTAATCAATTTACATAAAGTGTAACTATTAATTTCAACGAAGGGTCAATAACTTTATAGATTTTATAGTTTGTTAATAGTTTATTCGACGACTGTGGGATTGTAAACGTGTAATTTACAACTCCTATCTCAACGCTTTGCTGAG